GTGGTCAGAGAGGTTCAGGAGTTCGCTGCCTGGCTGGCGGTTAGGGAGGCTCAGGAGGTCGCCGCTGGCTGGCGGTCACGGGGCTTCAGGAGGTGGCCGTTTGGCGGGAGGTCGGGGAGCTCGGTGCCCGTAAATTTGAGTAAAAATGAGATTATCAGCAGCACCACTCTGAGCCACAGAATTTCAGCCCAGCTTTGCAGACTGGAACTGGACTGTTTTGTAGAGGACGCGTTCCATCACTGTGTGGGATTTTGAACTGAGGTAGCTATTTTGAAGATCATTCAGTGCAGTTCATGGCCCTGTCCCTTTTAAAATTCAAAACACTCTGGTTACTGAACTTGACGCCGTGAACTTGTGCAGACCATTTTGAGCAGATTATTTCAAGGCCTCCCAGACATATGTGACATCATGAAAACGTCAGGTGAATATTGCCACCTCAATGGTCCGTTGGTTCTCAAGGCCAGGGAGAATACGGCCATCGAGTTATTCGTGCCTGGCGTGCTTCAGGACGATTTAGGGCACTAACGGACTTCAGTTGGCTCTCAACCAGTGTAATGCGTCCATAGCAACTGTCGTACACGAATCACCTTTTGGGCTGCGTAACGCAGAAATGTGGAGAGTGATACGAGTTGTGACGAAAATAAAACTGGAAATCGAATAACTTGAGGATATCGCCATGAGCAGGCATGTGAATGCTAGTAAACAAAATGAAATCATACAAAAATATGCAAGAATGCTACGAGAACGGGCCAAAAGACGCGCACATGTTTTGGTTATGTAAACAGCGCACCAATTATCACAAGTTTCGGCATGTTGAAGTACTTTAAGTGAGCCAGGCCGTCCGCTCCGGTAAGAAATTTGGCACGGCCAGTTTATAAGTCATTTTTGAGTTGCACAAACGTCCCATGCCGCGATTGAATGATGTGTTGAGGGGTGTGTTTACTAAATAGTAAAATTGTGTTCCCCGAGGCAGTCTTTTGCATTTAAGAGGACACCAACAGTTACAAGTGAGCTCATTACATTATGTCTTCAGCAATCTATCGTTACCTCTTTTATCATGTAGATCTGCTGTCTTTTTGCTGCACACATATGTGTTTTGCAAACGTGGAACGTTTAAATGTGGAACGTTTTGTGTTTTTTCGCATTTCTTTATTCAGTTTTATTATACGTTTTCTGAAATTTTGAAATTTTCAGGTAAATGTTTTAGGAAAATCTGGCTAAATTGGCATGACTCAATTTCATCATCTGGGGTTTCTCGCACGAAAACAAACCTTTTCTAATGTTACAGGCTACGTGTCCATGGAAGAAAACTTTCTATCCATCGTGGCCATTTTTATACAGCATGTTGGTATCAATGTTTGTTTTTTTCGAAGTTCTCATCGATCGCCGTCTTGACGTCCTTCGTGACGTTTGATCTGTCCGGAGCAGGCTGCATGTGCCAGCCATGAGTGGGTCGAAGTGCTCTCTGGTGGGTGCCTTCGTCCGAGTGCCGAGCACAGATGCTGTAGAGGGGTCCCTGTGCGGGTTAGCCGCGGCGGATAGGCCCCAGGTGCATGCATTCATGTTCCACCGTTATCCCTTCTTCGTCACCCATAGCCCTGATGTAGTCATGACTGGCCGAAAGGGCTCTAACACAAACAACCAAACCGATCAGCTAGTTCGGGGAGACCGGGGATGGCGGATCGGGACCGTTCGGTCGCTCGCATTGGTGGATGGGCCGAACCACGTGTGATCCACTCATCTTCTTCACACATCGATCTAACGACGACCGAGATCCTCGCCAGTGCGGCCTGGACCAGCACCAATGCGGTATGCAAAGCGCCCCTCTGAAACCTCTGACTGGCAGCACCGGGGGTGACGGTTGCGGCCGAATTTCTATCGTTGTTCCGCATAACATGAAACACGGGGACGGCACGTTGCCAAGGCGACGCATTTTTTCAGTTCAGCGCCGACTTCTTTCGTTTTGAGGTCGTGCATGCTCACAGCGGACATAAATAGTTCATCGCTACACGGATTGACGTTGTACTACATGGTACGCCTTCACTTTTCGTAAATAATGTCCGCATACGCGTTGAAAATCGTGAGTCATTCACGTTTGGCAAATCCAAGTTACTGTTCTGTTTACTACTATTCATGACGTCTTTGAAGAAGCTGGCTTCCGTTCAGTGCCGTTACGCAACCAGGCTTCTCTCGGCGGCATGCATTTTGGCAGACACCATAAATTTCAAACCAATGTTTCGGCTATTATCATCAGTGTATCCTATTCTTGCAAAACCGTAATTTTTTCCAGGAGTGTAGATTTTTCAGATAACTTGGTGGGCTCATACCCTTAAAATTGAGCTCCCAATGCCCTATCAATCTCCCCACCACCACCACCACCACCACCACCATCACCCATGCTGACGTTGGCCTCCGACGTCTGGCTGAAATATTGCAAACACATAGGAAAACGCTGACTGCTACACAAAGGCCATACTCTTTGAATATTGTTTGCTAGCCACAAATATTATGCTGCTCAATTCAGGGGCTGCTTGATAAATGATACAAAGTTTGCCACTAGAAACTGCCGTCCGTCCAAAAAATGAGTAAAATCTACCCAGAAGCACAAATTTTTGAGGAGTTTGGCTGTCTGGCCTTCGGCTTGCCTCCCCTGTATCATTTAAACAAAACTGATACCCTTGATGTTTTCAAGTTTGACATTTTGCATCCTAATGCATTTTGCATTTTGTAACATTCTGATTTGACCTGCGTCCTTTCGTGCGTAATAATGAGTTTATCTTGTGGCACTGAAGTTATGGCGATCAGTTTTCAGCGTTATGAAATGGGAATTAGTATTTGGGCAATACGCAGCCATACATGCTTACATATATACAAGCATTTAGTTACGCATAATTTATCTCGAAAGGTGTTAGTAGGCGTAACAAAACGTTAGATCTATGAATACTAATGCACTTGTCATGTATGTGTGATTCTTATCTTATTTTGAACATAGGAAATATTCTACTCGAACACTCACTGATCGAACTGCGATAGCCCATTACGTTGGATGCATCACGCCGTCGTCAAGACTGCCGCGAGGCAGTATTATGTAAGCGATGTGCGTATGGACTCTATCGTGAACCGGAGTCAGGTGCCAACTCGACGGACGTTTATTCGGTGTGTGCTTTGAAATAGTTGCCGAACGCAAGAGCCCAGAAAGCTTGTAACAGCGTTGATAAGCTCACATAAACACACAAAAATAAGAAATGTGGCAATGGCAGTGGCCTGGGAAATAGCGGCTTGATTGGTGTGGCGAGTGGCGTGGCCAAAGGGGGCCATGCGTGGCGTTGCTCTTGAGGCCATGCCTTGCCCCTGGAGGTGGCCCGGTTGGCCGAAGGCGCCTGCACTTTTTGACAGATTGAAACGCCTGTAAGAATTCTAGAACATAACAGACGGACTCCGAGTCACCAAACTAGTCTTCCGAGCCTACAAATGTCCCGCGCATTTAAACACAGGGCTCCAGGTGACTAAGCCCTTTACTGGTAGAACGCGCCATGACACGATTTGACCTGCTCTAGGGCAAAATTCTTGCTGTGTTGCTAACCGCACCTCTTAAGTATTGTGGGCTGTAATGGAGCCAGAATCTCAAAACTTCTTCTCGGCTTGCTGGGTCACGGTTCCTGGATTTAACTAGTTTAAAAGCGAAGATGGGCCGAACAAGTCGGGATCCCATGACAGATTTTCTTCCGCGATCGCACCCGAGGTGCAATATTTCACGAAGTCGAATTTAGCGCCCACACCGCTCTAGTCAAATTTTGATTCCGCCCGCTGAAGTTGAGAATGATTTACTCTTAATTTGGCCATAGCCCACACTTAATCAGGGGCGGTAAATAAGAGCAGAGGGGGTGGGGTTAGCTATCATCGCATTGCTCACCCCCCCCCCCCTTCCCCCTTCCCCCTCAATGCCAGGCAACGTATAACACATTATTTCCATGGCTGTGCATGGAAAGACACGAGGTAATAATCATGTTTCCCACCAGCTCATCAGACCTTTGGTCACCACCGATCCAAGTGCATTAGTTGAAAACGATCAGGCCCAGGCAGACCAGTTTAACCAACAGCCCAATAAAAGCTCAAGGGATTTGCGCTGGACTACTAGCGTAAGTTGTTGAATGGAGAGTTAGATATCCAGTCATCACCCGACCACACAGCTCATGTAGACATGCCTTTAGCACCTATAGTTAAACGTCGGCCAGAAACACAGAAATATGTCTCCAGTCATCCGGAAACCCGCTGCAGCTTGCCGACGCTGTGCTTCTATAACTCTCATCATGCTCTTTTGGCAATCCATTGACCGTTACCATATGGGTAGCCGTGGGTTTACCCCGGCCACGGATTCCCATAACATAAGTGCGCATGGTGCTCTCAACCAAAGTTCCTTAAGGCACTGTGTGAGTCCAGTTTTATTGGGTACATTTTACCGGCTTCTGTGCGGTGTAGTCAGCCGGCCCACATGGCGCTCTTTTCGGAAGTTTGATCTGTAAGACGGCGCCGTTGCTGTGTCCACACACGTATCAGACAAGCGCGATAAGGATAGCGCCGCATGCCTCCGTGCCGCCCCTACCCCTACCCGCGTCGCGATGTGTCCAGCGCTGGCGGCCGTCGGGCCTGACCTGACCGTGGTCGCGGTCGGTCCAGATGACCTGTGACCTCGGCTCCGGCGTGGCGGACGGTGTGGTGGCCGTCCGCGGGGCGGCGGCGGCGGCGGCCGTTCGCGAGTCGACCGCGAGTATTATCGCTCCGCCGCAGCTAATCCGCGCTGTATCAACAGCCGCGTATCGGCCCGAAGCGATAACTGCCCGCGTGATTCGCCATTTTGCGCGCTCAGCGTGGGACGGACCGGCGCGCCTTCATTGTGGTGAGCGGGCACCCGAGGAGCTTCGGCCGGTGGGAGTGTTACCGGTGAGGCGCCTTTGACCAGCTCTGGGAACACGCCTCCTGCCGACGCCGAGAACGCCACCATGGTGCTGCGCTGGAGAGCGTCGCTGGCAGGTGGGTCCAATGCCGTCATTAGTGCAGCACGCGTCCTCTGGTGCCCAGCGACAGGCCGTGACGTGCCGTTAGAAGGCGGGCGCCTAAAGAACTCTGCCTGTGATTTGTTTTACAGTGCAACGACCTCATGACACGATTTCGTTTCAGCCTGCTATTCCAGAAGTGTTGCGACTTGCAAGGAGCAATACGTTCGGGCAAACGGTGACGCCACATGCAGGGCCATGACGTGACCGGTGGTGGCGAACGATTCCGCTCCTTGCCGGGGGAGCACGACGCCATAGGTAGCAAGCGAACCTATGTGATTGTGCGCATCAAATCAGCTGTATCTGCCGCTCGCCGAGAGATGGGACAGGCGTGCTTAAATTTGGCTTTAATTTAGTTTACTTGCCTGGATTCAGATCCAGACCGGGACAACCACTCAGAGAACAGGCTTGTTCTACACCTTGCTGTGAACAGTTATAAAGGGCTCGGAATATAGAAAGGTGTAGCTATACGAACCCAGTTAACTGCAGATTGATTATTAATTATTTGCGTTGCAAATTAGTTATTGATGTGTGGTGAGCGGTGTGACGCTGTCTTCCGTTCCGAACATTCGTACGTTAATTAAAGTTACGGGTAACATGCAGCATTGAAATCAGGCAATGCAACAGTTAAATAAATGTGCGATTTGTATCCATAAGGGGATTGGCTGATGCAGAAAGGCATGATTGTTAAAACCTGCGAGATGAGCGGGGAAGGCGCCGAATAATCATATTTCTTGTGCGTAGCCACCGGCACCGATGCTCCCTCGTAGTATATATATATATATATATATATATATATATATATATATATATATATATATAATGCATGGGCTTGCTTGCACGTAGCAGCGTACACCTTCAAGTGCTATCGGGCTGAGCAAAGTTAGACAGCAAAGTTAGATTTAACAGGAACATATACCAAATTACAGAGCCGCGAATCATCACAGCTCAGTGGAGGACATCGAACTAAACCGAAACCTAAGGTTGAGATGGTTCATGACCTAGATTATCCTGAAAGTTCTTGCATTGTTAAACCCGTGTGCCTGCAGTAGTACATTTAACCTTATTCCGTGCCGATAGGTACCATTTACTGCTGGTGGGCAGCAAAGACTGGCAATTTTCGAACAACTGTTCTGCAAGCTTTCAGAAATCACTTCATATATATGTGATCTGACTTAACCTGGATGGAATTTTTGCTGCGAAGCATGCGCAATGAATGTGCTATTATCTATGCCGAGTTGATGCCACCAGATATCGTTTTTTTCATGATCTCAGGTCGGTCGTTTGAAGGACGCCACCCGTCCCTCACCCGCGAGACCGAAGGTTCTAGTCGTGGAGGGTTTCTGCCCCAATGCACAGGGGCGCTGTCATGCTGAAGCCAGCGGCCATCGAACCTTCCCCTAATCAGTACCACTCTGGTCTCATTACTGCAAGGCCCGTCACCGGCTTGGCCGTGTTCTTCTGCTCGGGTTAGATCGCTCGTTCGGGGCGATCTCGTGCGGAGGCGCGCGCCTTTGTCCCGCGGGCGCACGGCTTAGGCGACAGCTCTGCTCTATCTGGCGCCGAGTCGGTGACTCACAGATAATATGGCTATCTAACCGGTGTTGTGTCACCTTGGCATGCGTCGAAGGGGGGGGGGGGCAGAGTCTGCCCACTCAGATGCACAAAGGCACGCCAACCCGGATGGTTCAAAAGACGATGGGCACAGTTCATTTTGCATAACTTTTTTCATGTCAAGGATGTAGGGGCGCTCCCAAAAATGGGGGACGGTAAATTCCTCTTTGTGGTCGATTGTTTTCGTACACCGCAATTGCGCCAATTTTTAGCAGTCTCGAAACAAGGTATGGAGCGTGGCCAGTCTATCATCCCCTTCCCTAGGCTTTTGTTTGTAGGTTTTGTATTTAACGGTTAGGTTCTTTGTTTAAAATACCTTGATTTTGACCGTACGTCCAAGAATTGGGAGAGTAAATGGCCAGCGGGTCGAAATCAAGAGAGAAGTTTTTCGCGTGCTCATTGGGGCGACATTTGTTCCCATTATTTTGTTGGAACATTGGTTCCTGGGCACCATCGATCCACCTGACGTTCTAAGCTTTGCATATTAGCATTCATACACATATAACTGTGCTTTAAGAAGTAATCCAACTTATTTCATAAGGCTCCTCGGTAATCTATTAATGAGCTGGCAACGTTTGACGCCCCGTAGATTAGCTATTTGTACGTGATGGGTTTTACATCCGCCCTATGTGATGTAGCTGTGGACACTAAACATGGATGACAGTATGATCAGAGTAATATTTCCGGGTGAGTTGAACCAGGTAGACAGATGAAGGTAGCCCAAGCAGCATTTTCTGTAATACTTGTCATATTCCCCGGTCGCACAGGCTTCTCAGCAGCCGACTTCGCCCGGTGACGCCAGGGCTGCCCTGCTTGTAACCCGCCTTTCACGGTCCGGCTGAGGGAGCTTGAGGATAATCGACAGACTATTGGAATGCCACTTGAATGCAGAAATGCAAAGGCAAGAGCCAGACCCCAGGAAGCTTTGAAGCTTGCATGTCTGGGGACCAGACATGACATTTCGATTCTTTACTTATCGCTTCACAAATCGACTAACGCGAAGTTAACTGTGCGCTGGGTACGTCTGCTTAACAGTTGCTTTTGAAAACGAGACAACGTGGTAACCGACACACGGGCATCTACGACCCGTTTTCGAGACTGATTTAGTTCAAAAGGCAATTATTGTAGCCAGTTTGTCCCTGCCGTTTGTGATGAATATTTCGCTCCTCCGTCTCAGAATCTAGGAGTGGTCACAGCTGCCCGAACGAAGTCCTGCTAACCAAGCCGACAAAAGTTGCCGTGGTTGAGCCATACACGTGTCCCGAGTAGTGGGAGCTTTGAAATACGTGGTTTGTGATACTAATTTTCCAGACAAGCGTGCAAAACGGATGATAACCATGAAATATTGTTTGTGCCGTCGGTTCCTTTTGTAAAGACATTGAGTTGCCTACAGCTTGGACCGGATCGTTTGTTATTCATTCGACCCTATAGGACATGAAAGAATAAATGCATACGTATTTTACCCGCAGGCTTTCGTAAAATGCCTAGTCTGTGGTGCACTTTACAGACACATGCTGTTTGGTTTATCACCTGGAACGTAGCTGCATCGTTTTAAAAGCTGTGATGTCCACACAAGCCCACGCTCTGGAGGCTAAGTTTTCAGCAACAATTCTTGTGCGACGTCAAATGGAAAATTGGGATTTCTGAAGTTGTTGACACTAGACCATTATCATGTCGATATCAGGGCTCAATGCGGGCTGTCGGGTGAAGCCCTCCTCCCTGCTGGTTGTCCTGGTCTTGAAAAGGAATCACGCGGCTAAGATACCATGCGGTCACAGCCCGGTAGGTTCGGGGATTGGTAGACTTCAAGGGAACTGTGACGAACGACATGAAGTTATGTTGGTAACAATGACCGAACATGTGAACGTATGAATGTGGGCAGGAGGCTTTGGGTCTCCGTCTTTTCTTATGACGAATTTCTACACTGTCTAAATACAAAGGCATTTGCTGATCGAAATTCAAAAGTCCCACTGCAATAAACTTTGATCTTGCTCAACCACGGTGGAAGTTCTAGATTTTGTTGAGAAGTTCGCGCGGCAGGTTGAGGACCTTTCGAATCAACGGGATGAAGGTAGCAAGTGGGACGTGAGGTGTCGTAAACGACAGTGGAAATTTGGTCTCATGGGTACCTTTTGCTATAAAGGTCTCGGATACGGGTCAGGATACTCGGTCTGCTGCTGGTCAGTTCTAACTCATTCGGAATGTTAACGGTTTCAATAGGAAGGTTATCAATATAGCCGATAAACATGACAATAATTACAGAAAACCACTAGCAATTTTTTCCAGGCAATTCCAGTCAAAAAATAGCAATTCCACAACAATTTCGGTCTCTGTTTGGTCCAACTTGCAAATACAATTACGACGACGCGGTCAAGCATGATACAAGTCGGTAACTATGAGACAGGACGTATGCAATACCTGCAGGACGCAAGCTGATCATCGAGCGGACGCCAATCGCTGTCAGCACACATAAAGATCGTGGTGCAACCCAATGATACCACTCTGAGTGGTGAGTCGCTGCACCTTTTTAGGTGTGCGATTAGTGATCTGAAACATTTTTAATCAGAATTTCAAGGCTTTTAAGCGATCTCAATGTTTATGCCTTGGCAAGAACAATGCCGTGTTTGAACTCGGTAGGAATGCCTGGATGATATGCATGTTACTGGGAAGAGGAAGTTCCTGACTGGGGAAAGCAGTCATCTTACTGCGCAGGCGGAAACAGACCATTATTACAGAGAACCAGTGGCATGATTTGCGTGTGACTACCTGGCCTGCGCCTATTGCAGATATCGTGTTGATGGCAACGCCATGTATGATAATGATCAGGAACTTTATGACGGGCGGGCGTAGAACCCGCCACCAAGCACAAACGGTTCGTATGAGGAACATTGAACGTTGTCAGGACATGAATAAAACATGAAGGAGTCTGATGAGTTTATTTACTTTAATGGGTTAGGTGATATTTTAGCTGGACCTATGACAACATGCAGGAAAATAATTTCTTAAGAAGTTAGGGTCTCGCTCTTGCACTTTCGATTTCTGGTAACAAGCAATGCGTGAGGTCAGCATGTAAAAACGCGCCAAATGTTATCCGGAAATCGATGCTTTAGGAAAAATGAGGAAAAAGGTCATCATAAATGTACGTGTCATTTTTCAGACGATTAGTTTCTTATTGTTTCCACGTTTGCTTGGCAAATCATGACAGACTGCCCAAGACGCTTGTTTTCCCATGCTAACAGGGATGCACAAAATGTCGTGGCAGCAGTCTGAAGGATGTGAACGTAATTTTGATCGGCAGAATGCCCTTAGTTGGTTCAACACTGAGCAGTTCAGTGATCCGATTGTGTAAGTCTATGAAGTGGCGGGACGAATATGTCCGCGCTGCTTGCAATGAGTGTGCAGGAACATAGATGTATAGAGATATAAACATATTTTGCAAACGGTGCAGGCAGTGAAATTACTCGCACTTCGGGCAAATACTAATCCCCAAAACGTGAACTGATGTCAGCATTGTGTGGAAAATGGGAACGAACTTCAACGGGGAATAAAATGGCAGAATCCCGATATATTAAGCTATATCTTTAATTCTGTATTTAAAGTTTTATCTGATTTACGGTTACTAGTCTCACATTAGCCTGCTAAATTGTTCATAGCCGTTAAGCGAATCATTCGTCCAAAGCAGTCGATTATTGACATGCTTGCTACATTCCACTTTTCATTACCTGAGCTTAGGGGTGCGAGGTAAGTGTTACAGGCACAACTTTCTGAGGGTGCTGAGAAAGTCGCCAGCTACTTGCAAGTCGAAAAGAGGAACGAGCCTCTAAGGCCGCTACAGGCCGCTAAGAGGACAATTAGGAGAGAAATTGCGCTATCAGTCAGCATAACATCAAGGCACATGTTAGCATAAGCTCAATTGTCGTAATCCATGTGCGCACGTCCGCGTACACGGGAGTGGAGCACACCCCACGAGTGTCATTGGCGGAAGATTCCTGTGAGTCTGCTAATGCTGCGTAATTAACACCGCGCAGGCATTTACATCATACAATGATGCGAGCATTTAGGAAAGCCTTCGAGGCGTACAAAATAACGTTATCGAAATTTTACGGGTTCAGTTGTGAAAATTTTAGGCACAACCACGTTCCACTTTTTCACACAAAAAACGCATCTGGCACACGCGCTCGACGTAATGTCCTGCCATTACACATGCGTTATGCTACGATAATGCAATTTTCAACAGAAGTGCGTAGGGAAGAAGTGGAGATTCTCTGACATTTGCAATTATTTCCTACAAAGTGGGTCTTAAGCTAGTCTCGTGAAGCGGGGTTAGTTTTGCAGGGAGCATTCGGCATGTGCTGTTAAACAACGCTGTGTGGTTTCGCCCTGCTCAGCGTGTAATCCCAGCATATTTTTATATGGATCGATACCTTCAGATAGTGCAGCAAACGACCAATACCTGTGGGCGTACATGTGATCAGCGGCGGGAGACCGGAGCGCGTAAACAAATAGCCTGAAAATGACGGCGGTGCAGGGCAGTAAGGGATCTAAAATTACACACACACACACACACACTCAACTCTCAGCTCCACCCCGAACCATCAGCCAGTGAGTGTGTGTGTGTGTGTGTGTGTGTGTGTGTGTGTGTGTGTGTGTGTGTGTGTGTGTGTGTGTGTGTGTGTGTGTGTGTGTGTGTGTGTGTGTGTGTGTGTGTGTGTGTGTGTGTGTGTGTGTGTGCGCGTGTGTGTGTGTGTGTGTGTGTGTGTGTGTGTGTGTGTTTGCCTGTCCGTGAATGTTGGCAGCGAGTTTTCTCTAATACATACCCCCCCCCCCCCTCCCACATAAGCACACAGCTGTCAGGCTCGCCGCTGCGGTGCTCAGACTTGGCAGCGGCCGGGCGAGTCACCAGGATTATCGCGGTCCCCTCCCGATAGGCCGGGGCGGCCGAACTGCGCGGCCGCGCGATAAGCCGTTCCTGATTTTGAACAAGCGTTCTGAGGCAGCGGCCATAGCGTGACGCCACCAGCCAGGCTTCTGAGAAGCATAGTAACACAACTGAGCCTTTTCAGCCTTGTAAACAACTCTGGGTATCGCAGAACCAATCAAATATGGTGCAAAAGGCTAAGTTTTAGAAGCGGTGGCTTTTCACGCAAGGCGCACTGAAGCAAAGATGAAAGAGTCTTTCATGTCATGAGTCGACTGGTGTTGCGACCGTTTGAGAGGTTGCCTCTCCACACGCCTGCGACAGCAAAGGCCGTGTGGCAGATGTGTCGACACCTGGAGGCCGTTCACTATTGAAGCGCTGCACACTCTGCCGCAGCGATCCCGGTTGTGACGACCGGTCCACCCCCGTGACGTGGTGCACTGTGCCGCAGTGATCCCGGTTGTGACGGCCGGTCCACCCCTTTGACGCTGTACGCTGTGCCGCAGTGATCCCGGTTGTGACGGCCGGTCCACCTCTGTGACGCTGCACACTGTGCCGCAGTGATCCGGGTTGTGACGACCGGTCCACCCCCGTGACGTGGTGCACTGTGCCGCAGTGATCCCGGTTGTGACGGCCGGTCCACCCCTGTGACGTGGTACACTGTGCCGCAGTGATGCTGTGCGTGATGCCCGGCGGGCCGTTCGCTCTGATTCCGGAAGAGATTTACAAGTGCTACCGGGCCGACAACTACGCCCTCTTCAACCGACACAACCGACAGGTGGGTCATCACTGGGCTCTCCATACAGTCCAAAATGGCAGTGCCGTTGTCGTCATCAACCTCAAAACTACACTGCTGATCGCACCTAACAATATGATAGCTCAAAAGCGCCCAAAATTGTGGGATATCTGATAGACACGATTCATAAGCCATGACATAAAATGCATCACGAGTTCAGAGCTCATATGCTGGGTTATCGCACCTCACTTTACCAGGAGGTGTGGGTTAAACGGCGTGTTAGGGCAAACGTTGGTTATATTGACAATACTTGACGTTTCAAGTTATGCTTATGATCCACAAATGAAAAGGTGGAGTGACAAAATATTGCGCTTCAAACCAAGACAAATGAAACCTGAAAATGCTTCGAATCTGTGCAGACACTGCCACTCAAAGATGACAAAAGTAATCAACCATCTGAGCTCCAACATAACACCCGATGAGCGGCTTATTGGAAAATTAATTTCCACGAGCGTCAAGCGCCACGAACAACAGGCGTGTGAACACAGCAAAGGTCACGAAAAAGCTGCTCTGTGATCTTCTATGAAAAAATTCCGGAAGTTTAGGCCACTTTTTACCTAGAGTCACATGGAAGTGACAGTGACGGTGACAGTGACAGGAAAGTGTCAGTGGCAGTGACAGTGGCAAGGGAATGACAGTGACGGTGAAAGTGGCAGATGTGGCAGAAACAGGCGGTGGGTTCAGGGCACGAACAGTCATTCCGTTTACACGTATGCACTCTGTATCAATGTGCGCTCCGAAAGCATTCGAGAAAACACATGAAAAACAAAAAGCAGTATTCAGTCATCGCCCATGCTCTCGCCATATTTGGCGCTGCTCAAGGGAGGCATTCCGCTGGCAAGGCTGCTAACAAAGCCGGCAACTTCCTCCTTCACACAAACTGACGAGCTTTGCTCCCAAGTTTTGTAATATGCGCGAATCGATCGATTAATTGTGGCCATCATCAAAGCACGTGCCGACACCGGAACTTCGAAGAGTTATTATCGTCTCTGAAGCAGCGATTTAGAGGCCTCGCACGGTTACCTGCTGTGCTGTTGGCAGCAGACGGCGTCTGTCTGTGTCGGCTGCCAGGCGCGAGCCGCGCACTTTAGCGTCCGGCGCGAGCCCGCTCCGCCTCCGGCGTCAGGGGCAAGCCCGCCCGCCGCCAGAGTCCAACGCGGACCAGCTTCGCCCCTGGCGTCCGGTGCGAGCCCGAACCGCTCCCGGCGTTCGACGCGAGCCCGCCCTCCCCCCCCCCCCCCCCCCCTGTCCGGCGCGAGCCCGCTCCGCCCTCGGCGTCCGGCGCGAGCCTGCGTCGCTCCTTGCGTCCGCCGCGAGCTCGCCCCCCCCCCCCCCCCGCCGCCCCGTCCGGCACGAGCTCGCACCGCTCCCGGCAATCCATGGCGGCTGACAGCCCACTGGTGGCAGGCTGTTTCCATGGACCAGCTGATCGGCCTGGTGGAGCGGCTGGAACACGCCCAGGGAGCCCAATTCATGTCGCCGCAGCGCATCACGGCCACGCTGCTCAGGCGCTTCCGCTACGACGGCATCATTGACCAGGTGAGGTGACCGGCGGCGCTGGAAGGGGGCGAGTCGTGCGCCCTCCGTGGTGGCGCCGGCCAAGCTCAGTCATTCCGGCTTCGGCAGCTTTCTGTCCCCCCACGCCTGCTGATTGCCTTCCAAAAATGTACGTGGAAATAATGTCAGAAAGGCTCAACTTCAAAGTGACTGTCAAGGTGTCGGCTAGAGGACTACCCTATAAGCATTAGGCAGAGCGGCAAGAGAAAACACCTCCAAAAGACTTGGGAGTTATAGGAGGCTGTCGACAGTAAACACCATGGAATAGGCATCAATGGCGATAGCGGTGTTCACTGCCGATCAAAATTGTTAGTCATGTAGGATAATGTCACAGATAATTTAAGCATTCGCACTGCACTGACTGATGCGATTCTGAGCACATGCCATGTTGTGCATCATTAACCAAAATAACGATAAACGGCAAATCTTCCACGGTAAAGCTTTTGGACGCAAAGACTACCGTTAGGTGGCATTATCGTTGGCCCTAACCACAATGAGAACGAATAACTCAGCTGGTTGTCAGTTATGTTGTCACAACGAATCGTTTCACTTATATTTTTCCCGTAATAGGTTGACTGTTGATAATTGCATACGGCTATGATGCCCATTGCACTAGGTCTTTACGTACACCCGATGTCTCAGTGATAACATGACTTTCTTTGCTTTTTCTTAGAACGTCAACCAGGAGATCTCAACTTACCTGGAACCTTTCACCTTCATCCAGCCTGAGAACGCCAAGTTCCAGATGCTTCAGAGACTCATCAACCTAGACAATACCAACTTCCCTGAGGACGACTTCACGTTGGAAGAGAAGGTAAATCAGCATGCTGCTTGGTTCCACCGCAGGCAGTGTACTCCGACACCGTCCGTGACCGTGCTTGAAATATCGGCTGAAATAACGGGCACATGGCTCGGCAGGTGAAGGTCAAATTCGTTGCATTCATCATCTTGAATCACATTTGCTCTGCGTTTATTTGTCTCCATCACCATTCCACGCGCGTGCATTTCGCTGCCCCACTCCTTGCACCAAGTTGTCAGTGTTCCACCTCTGTGGCCAACTTCCATTGCTCCACTCCTTCTGCATAAGTTTAAGTCCACTAGTTCCTGCACCTAGAACTTCCGTCGGCCTGCAGCTTGTGCCTCTTCCAGTGCCTCCTCCCTGAACCCTGGTTTCCGTAGCACCGGTCTATACCTAGGGCTCAATGCACCGCTGCCCACGCCAGCGTGTCGGAGCCCCACTGGTTGTGCGCGTGCACGTGTTTCGATGCACTACCACCTGCGGCTGTGTTTCAGTGCACTATGCATTGGCTGCTGTCGCACTCTGTGAACGAGACAGAGCGTGACGACGAGAACGATTTCTGCGGCCGCGCCAGTCGCCGCCGCCGGGCTCCGCGGCGCTACGGCTCCCGCTCGCGCTCCCGCTCCGGCTCCTCCAGCTCGGGCTCCGGTGGCCAGGTGTCCGGAGGCTTTGTGTGAGTATCCACTGGCACCGGCCGACAGCATAGAAGCGTTACCGGCACTGGTAAGATGCGGGCTGTAACGCCATGTGGATTTATTTCGCGTTTTGCCGAGCTCGGACGCTAGCTTTTGTGCAGTGCGCTCCGACGACGAGAAGCTCTCATCAGAATCCGCACCTCGTCGATAATTGTCTCGCAGAATCGCACCTATCCAGGTTTACTACCTGACGCTGCTGTCCTGGCCTGGAGCTGCGTCAGCGCAGTGCTGCGGTGTCAGAGGCTGCCCCTCCTCCTGACCCTGGAGTCCTGAGGCGGACTGGCGGTGACCTTTTGTCCGCCCCCCCCCCCCCCCCCACAGCGGCAACGTACCCGACGAGCAGGCCAGCAACTGCCCGCTTGAGATGGGCGTCGTCTACTCGCCGTACGGACCGGTGGCGGCCGGCACGCTCATTGCGGGTGAGTTCGGCGCGCGTCGCGGGTGAGTTCGGGTCCGCGCCGCGGGTGAGTTCGGTGGCGCGCCGCGGGTGAGTTCGGGGTCGAGCTGCGGGTGAGTTCGGGGCCGCGCTGCGAGTGAGTTCTGTGTCACGCTTCAGGTGAGCTCGGGATCACGCCGCGGGCGAGTTCGGGGTCACGCTGCGGGTGAGTTCTGAGTCACGCTGCAGGTGAGGTCGAGTTCACGCGGCGGCCGACCACCCACCTCAATCCTCGCCGTGTTTCGGCCGTTAGCTGAGACGTGACGAAATTGAAACTTGTTGAGTAAATGCATAAACAGTTGGCCGATCATGGAAAAAGAGACAGATGTACATGCAAAGGCGTACATAATGCGCGCACTAAGCCCAACAATGAACTGACACAAATACCGAGCAGCTTATTTTTAGGAAATGCACACACAAGAGGCGGTAATTTTACACAAGCGGTATGCGTAACGAAATGCGTTTGGCCATGGTGTTCAGAAGCGTATAATACCTCAGGAAGTGAGCTAGGGACAAGCCCATGCAGAGGCTGATAACGATGAAAGATTGAACTGGGGATAAACCCACGTTGAGGTTGGTAACGATGAAAGCTTGAACTAGGGATAAACCCACGTAGAGGCTGGTAACGATGAAAGCTTGAACTAGGGATAAACCCATGTAGAGGCTGGTAACGATGAAAGCTTGAGCTAGGGATAAGCCCACGTAGAGGCTGGTAACGATGAAAGCTTGAACTGGGAATAAGCCCATGTAGAGGCTGGTAACGATGAAAGCTTGAACTGGTCGAGTCTATTTCGAAACAGTATTCCCTTCACACAAGGGGTCATTTTAAATGAGAGACTTCAGAACTCCAGAAGGGAGCTTATTACAATGCCCAAAAATCTTGACCCTGAGTGATTTTTACCCTACTTTTGTCATATACCTTGTGAGATCTACGAAGTATTGGGATCGTCGCACAGATATGGGGATATTCGTTTCATGTAAATTACATTGAGCTCCTGAATCATCGACTTGTTTGCTGCTGAATACCTGTAGGCAGGTAGGTGAGCAAAAATCACAAAAGGAATTGGAGGCATGAATTTTCAGCGTTTGTAACCATTAAATGAGTCAAAATGAGAAAGGAAAAAAGGAGACAATACACCTATCCTACTCCGCCACTGCCGGCACTGCACCGGCGCTGTAATGTTTCACTCCTGTACAGCACCGGCGCTGTGATACCTCCCTCCTGAACAGCGCCGGCGCTGTGATGCCTCCCTCCTGAACAGCACCGGCGCTGTGATACCTTCCTCCTGAACAGCGCCGGCGCTGTGATGCCTCCCTCCTGAACAGCACCGGCGCTGTGATACCTCCCTCCTGAACAGCACGGGCGCCGTGATACTTTCCTCCTGAACAGCACCGGCGCTGTGATACCTTCCTCCTGAACAGCACCGGCGCTGTGATACCTCCCTCCTGAACAGCACCGGCGCTGTGATACTTCCCTCCTGCACAGCACCGGCGCTGTGACACCTTCCTCCTGAACAGCACCGGCGCTGTGATACCTTCCTCCTGAACAGCACCGGCGCTGTGATACCTCCCTCCTGAACAGCACTTGCGCTGTGATGCTTCCCTCCTGAACAGCACCGGCGCTGTGACACCTTCCTCCTGAACAGCACCGGCGCTGTGATACCTCCCTCCTGAACAGCACCGGCGCTATGATACCTTCCTCCTGAACAACACCGGCGCTGTGATGCTTCCCTCCTGAACAGCGTCGGCGCCAAATCGGTGGGAAGGTCCGATCCCCAGCTCAACACCGGCAGCGGTGGGCATGAAATTGGAGTGTTGACTTCTTTTTCCCTGTTTCTCTTTCCCTCGCCACCTACCTGATGGCGACGGTAACCGAATTTTGGTCCCCAAACTCGTGACGATTTTTGCTCATATGAAATCTTACAAGCTGTCAACAGCAAGCAAGTCAGTGCTATTAAGGACAAACGTCGTTTATCTTTGTTCCATGCTCCACTGAATTCATATTATTTTGTTTGCTATCTGAAAATTTTGCAAACGTATTAAGATTTGTTGTATCCAAGCGATGAATCACTTCGTGCACGTATGTCATGCTGCTCAAGCCGTCTATATCGACGTGGCTTGAAATGAAAGGTTCCCAAGGTCGTCTCGCAAGCCCATAATTTCTTATTTTTTTCCAGTTTCGGTGGCTTACCCTTTGACTCTTCCATAGGAATATCAAGCGGATTGTAGATTTTAGTCTTGGGAACAGCATTCTATGGGGGCATTGCAAGTGATCAAGTTGGGAGCGCCATACACTCCTTTCCTTCAAAGCGCGGAGCCTGTTTTTCACACCTTGCATGTATATTGGCTTCCGTAATAACTCATAGATTCCAGATTTTGCTTCTCAAGACTGTCACCCTCCACCCATGTCTCAGTCGGTATGGCTTCCTTGTATATTTAGATATATTTAGATTTCACATCTTGCATTTATGTTGGTTTCTGTAATAATTCATGGATCCCAGATTTCGTCTCTCAAGACTGTCAACCTCCGCCCATGTCTCGGTCGGTATGACTTCCTTGTATATCTAGATAATGTTATGATGCGTGAAATGAGTTACATGGTGAGTCACATTTGCATGTTTTATAACTTTTTGGGTCAAATTATTTCAACTCAGTCCAAATTCCTGAAACCATTCTCACTTCTTGACCATCTTCTTTAGACAAAAAATGCCGACAGTTCATGACCTTGAATGCCTCTAAACACATTCTCGCAACGTTGAAGGCGATTTAGAGCGATACCCGCACTCAAATTTCTCGAACACCTTGGGAAAATAATCATCTCCTGGCCAGACAACCTCGACATTTACCGTGTGAACTGTGCGGCAGCCCTTGGCGTCGGTGTGACGTGCGACTGACGCTGCTCGAGATGTTTAACCGTCTGTCGTCTGGTGTCTGTGGCAACAGGCATGGCCGCCGGCCTGTCGGAGCAGGACGTGTCGGTGGCGGACGTCGTGGGCTCTGACACCTTGACGCTGCAGGAGCTGACGCAGCAGCAGCGCTCGCTCCAGCTCAACAACATCTGGGCCGCCACACTGGCAGGTCAGACGGCCGCTTGGCCCTAGCCTCAGACGGCAGCTTGGCCCTAGCGACAGGCTGTCGATTGGTCCGAACCTCAGGTGGCCAGTTGGCCCTAGCCTTACCCCACGGCTGCAGGGCCGAGTGCTGTCTCGCCCCATCACGCCATGCGACGAGTCCCGGGTTGCGCATCCCCCCCCCCCCCCTGGGCGTGGGAAACGCCGCCAGAGCTCGTCAGATCTCGTCACACTGCCCGCCGTCGTCCACTGTTGGTTACGGCGGGGACAGGCGCGAGATCAGGCTCCTCCCCAAGAGATCGTGAGCTGTTTGCTGCTTCATTGCACCCAAATGTGAGCCTTCTAGGAAATGGTACCTTAAGATTTTAGACAAATTTTCCGTGCACAATGCTCATGAGCAAAGCCAGAGCCGCTAGCGGTACCTGCTCACTCAAGTGCGGGCCGGCAAGCACGACAACGACAACGGTAAGTGCGGCCGATTAGCCTTGCTGTAGCGGTGTGGTGCACTGGCTTCACCTGGCGACTTGCTGCAGCGGTGTGGTGCACTGGCTTCACCTGGCGACTTGCTGTAGCGGTGTGGCGCAGCGGCTTCACCTGGCGACTTGCTGTAGCGGTGTGGTGCACCAGCTTCACCTGGCGACTTGCTGTAGCGGTGTGGCGCAGCGGCTTCACCTGGCGACTTGCTGTAGCGGTGTGGTGCACCAGCTTCACCTGGCGATTTGCTGTAGCGGTGTGGTGCACCAGCTTCACTTGGCGACTTGCTGCAGCGGTGTGGCGCAGCGGCTTCACCTGGCGACTTGCTGCAGCGGTACGGTGCACCAGCTTCACCTGGCGACTTGCTGCAGCGGTGTGGTGCACCAGCTTCACCTGGCGACTTGCTGCAGCGGTGTGGTGCACCAGCTTCACTTGGCGACTTGCTGCAGCGGTGTGGTGCACCAGCTTCACCTGGCGACTTGCTGCAGCGGTGTGGCGCAGCGGCTTCACCTGGCGACTTGCTGCAGCGGTATGGTGCACCAGCTTCACCTGGCGACTTGCTGCAGCGGTGTGGCGCAGCGGCTTCACCTGGCGACTTGCTGCAGCGGTGTGGTGCACCAGCTTCACCTGGCGACTTGCTGCAGCGGTGTGACGCAGCGACTTCACCTGGCGTGCTGTCCGCCAGGTGACGTCGCCCAGACGGCGCTGCACTACGAGGGCCGCGGTGGCAACAACGCCCCGGCCGTGCTGGGCCCGGGCGGCTTCTGGAACAGCACCTACTGCCCGCATGAGTACAGCCTGGCCAGCCGCGCCAGCGTCACGGCCATGACCAACGCTGAGATCTACGGAGGCATCGACGGTACGTGCGACACCCTCGCGCGGTGATGCTGCTGGAGCTTGGTGGATGTGTCGAAGCTCTCTGCAGCATGCGCGGACGTGGAGACGGGAGGGTCGTGGAAATCGCCAAAGGACGCGGATAGGTTGTAGATATCTCACCTCGTGCATAGGTAAACGTTTCTGAATCTTGCCTCGGCTCCCATGCTGGCGCTTGACAATGCCGTTGCGCGATTGTTTGTCGCTTGCGTGTCGTCGTTGGAGGGGTCCTTCTTATGCTGCATGCCGCACTGGGATGGCTGCGTGATTGGGCGGGCGTCCTGCTGGGCCTCCAGGCTACCTGATCGGCTCGCAGCTGAAGGACTGGAGCCACCGTTCCGGCTTCCGGCTTTCGAGCGTGCTGCGCATGTACTACTCGGCCGATGGCGTCAGCTACGACCGCCGCTTCCGCGCCTGCGATCGGCTCACCAATCTCCTCAACGACGACCTCATCAAGCAGGACACGCTACAGACGGAGGTGAGCGATGCGCCGCACGAAGCGCCGGAGTGACGTCATTAGCCACCCGGCGTGTCGGAGGCTTGACCTGGACTGGCGCGGCGGGCAACAGGGTGGGAGCAACCCGACCTGACAGGGCAACAGGGTGTGAGCAACCCGACCTGACAGGGCAACAGGGTGTGAGCAACCCGACCTGACAGGCGTGTGCTGGTGGCCCAGCTGCGAGACTGCTGTTACACAGATAGAGGAAGAGACGGCAGTCTGTGACGGGGAGATGGGCAATAAAGGACGGGCGGAAAGCAAGATTGGAATGGCCTCCCAGCGCTGCTCTTCTTGCCAGGAGGGATGATCGGAGCGCCACGGAGCCACTTACCACTGACGGCATCACACCCCGCACAAACTCAATCACTCATCAGCGCACTTATTACAGCCAACCGTCTCTCTTCAAGATCAAACTAAACTGGATCGCAAGCCACGTTCGGTGAGTGCTGGTTTCCCAACATAACATGACATGAGGCGTTCCCTGCCCGCCGCTGCGCAACAGGCGGTGAACTTCGGGTACGCCTACTACGGCGGCCGACCTGGGACGGATGCCAATGCTGGTACAGGACAGCCTGGACGAGGCCATGACCGCTTTGGTACAGAAGGTCATCGATCAGCTCATGAGATTTGCCGGTGAGTGGTGTACGCTGCCCGCTCTGGTGATAATGTGGTGTTTTGTGTCAAGATGATGTCTCCGTAGGCCATGGCGGCATGCAATTCGTATTGTTTATGCTGTTCCGATTTTGCTGCGTAAGGTTTCCAAGGTGGGTAAGCTTGAAGCTATCTTGCGAACGTATAATTTGTGCGGCTGCTGTGACTCTGCTACTGTTGACTCTGCAGTGCCGCTGTGACTGAAGATATAACCGTCTTGTGCCAGCGATGCTTCTTTCCCTTTCAGAGCTGCGAAAATGAGTCAAGCCCTCAAATGTCATGCACAGTCACCAGCCCCATGTTCTACCCGATGGAGCTTACATATCAACAACAAGCCAATAAACGTGACTTCAAATACTCAGATCGGCGATCGTGCGCACGAATCAAATCCAACAAAATCCGAACGCAGACACAACCTTCCTGACATCAATATCACGGTCAGGGCTTTGTCATGGCTGTTAACGTCGTTCGTATTCCTGCCACTGACGCCATGTCCCTTCTCAAAACCCATCAGGGAACTCGATGACGGACGACGGACCCGGCTGCAAGGCGGTGCCACCTGCGGGCGACACCAACACTGACCCCATCTGCTCCACCAAGGCTGACCTGATGGCCGTCATGGACCCCTCGCAGGGGGACTCCAGCCTGCAGGCGCAGAAGGTCTTCCTATCGTGAGTCATCGGTCAGGCCACTGGGGCGATTCACCTGTGGTCTGCTAATGAACCATATAGCTATTAAATGGGTGCAGCTTAGATAGCCACGCATACGTGCCGGCCTTTGAACGCTGTTTCTCGCGGTTCCCTTGCCTGTTGGCCTCCGCAAGGTTTTTGTTTGTTTCTGGTAGGAAATGAGATACGCCATAAGCAATGTGTAATGGCTTGGAGACTCAGCCCACCTGGGAACTGAAAAAAGATACACTGTTATCTACACTAGCACACCATCGGTAGGTGAATATATCGCAACCGGTGCTCTATAATCCATGCTCAGCGCTTCATTTCAATGAGATGTTGTGTCGTAGACTCGCACCAAATTTGCATTCCAATTAGAACATCCTATCGACAAATTTTACCGGTTATCACAACCCCGTCCCAGGGACTGCTGCTCACCGCGTCAACCAGTTTATCACGCCCTCAATGTCCACAATATGCACGCCCGTTTACGCGCACTGGCGTTGGGCGCGGACGGCCCGTCTCGTCGATGGAGATGAAGATGGTTCGGCGAGTGCATTAGGGCATCTAGAGGGACTCCAGCCAGCTGCTGGGAGTACAGCTCAGGGTGCACACGGATGACCTGGCCTTTTTGTGGAGCGCCGTTTTGCACATCTCGGGCGACAAGGTTCGACTTGGGGAGGCCCAGTGCCGACTTGAAAACGCCCAATTCCGACCCTGCGTTTGCCCCCTCGTCAGAGAGATGGCGCTGGCCATGGACATCGGGTGGAACAAGTCGTACGTGCAGGTGGTGAGCGGGGTAGACGGCCAGGTGCTGCTGGATAAGTGGAACTATACCAACAAGGCTCGCCTGGCCTGCGACGCCCAGCACATCAGTGGTACGGCTCGGGAGTCGCGGGTGTCGAGCTCGGCAGGGATGGCGCTGGATCCGCCAGGCGTCACGTGTTGGCAGGCGTAGGCCGTGTTGGTTGCAATTCTCGCCAGTGACTGTCTAGGCTTGTGTCACTGCGTGCGACTTCGGTAATGGAGGTGGCAAGGTACTGAAGGGTGTAAAGCTCCAGTGGCGCATGAAAGTGCGCTGTTTAAAATGTGCTGTTAGGAATTAGAGTGTGGTTTCAGGCGTCAGTATCCTGCATTTGCAAGCCCGAAGTCTTCGTTGAAACATTTGAGCGCCAAATTTCGAATCTATCTGTGCCAATGTGAGTGGCGTTATCGGTTCGCTGGGTCACGTGCATGGAGAAGCAGACGAGGCTGGTGGCGCGGTGACCGCTCGCGCTCTCGCCAGTGCCGTCCGGCCAGCTGGACCTGATGCAGACGCTCGATGCGCTGATCACCTACTACGGCAACCTCCTGGACCAGGAGCGGTCAGACGTAAGAACGGCGTGAATGTTTCAGGACAGTGCAATTGTTCTCACATCAGAAGCTCAGGGAGAGGCCGGTACAAGCTCTAGGAAGATTGCGTTGGGGTGATTATGTCGTTTGTTTAAAGCTGATCATGAGAGGACGCTGATGTTGCGACCGGTTTGGAGAACGGAAGTTCATTTTTCACAATTGGCGGTTTTCACAGCCCCTCACACTCGATTTCCAGTGGCTATGAGTGTGTGAGGTCTTTCAAAGTTAGTTTCGTATGTCATCGGGAGCTGGGATTAATCCTGACCTGTTTTATCACTAATAGCCGCATTCCCTTATTCCCTACGCCATGCATTTCGCTTCAGTCCTCAAACCGGACGAAGACAGACAGAATTGAACCTTATTTTGCAAGTTAAGGGCTGCGGAGTTAAAGTAAAACTCCAGTGTTCTTTGTACGTGATCGGGGAAGGTTTTAAGTAAGCTTCGTTACATCCGATGACGAGAGTTGCAGTTTGATAGGAAATTGTGGTGTAATGAAATCTAGGCAGTTGGATGACTCATTCCACTAATACAGTACTTTCATCCTCCTGGATCACGCTTGGAAGTGCTACCGACCCTAACGGGGTGTCGCCTCCTTTTGTCGCCAGACGACGGCCCGATCCAACACGCATGCACTGCTGCTGATGCGAGCGAGTGCGCGCATCGATAACGACCCTAACGCGATGTCGCCTCCTTTTGTCGCCAGATGACGGCCCGATCCAACACACAAGTACTGCTGCTCATGCGAGCGAGTACTCGGATCGATAACGAGGATGACGTGGCGTACAAGCTGAACACGCTGTGCGACATGTTCCCAGGTGAGCGAGCGGCACCACATATTCGCGCTGGCATAATGGCTCTACAGAACAGCTTGCGGCTGGTTGTATTTGTCTGCAACGCCGGTTCGCCTGAACTTGGGCACCAGCCTGTTGACCGGACGGCGAGCGCGGCCGTCAGAGGCGCTACAGAGCAGCGCCCATCAGCTGTCGGCCGGGCCTGTCCTGCTGGCTGGGTGGTGAGTGCGGCCGTCAGAGGCGCTGCAGAGCGGCATCCATCAGTCGTTGGCCCAACCTGTCCTGCTGGCCAGGTGGAGAGCTTAGCCGACAGAGGCGTTACAGAGCGGCACCCACCGGTCGTCGGCCCGGCCTGGCATGCTGGCCGGGCGGTGGTGACGGCAAGCAATGAATTTGAGGTCGCTGGGGCCATTTCAAGGAGGTGGAAAAAAAGCATTTACTCACAACTTAGCCACGCATGATGGCTTACGCGGATCCAAATGCAAGAAATCCCATGATTATCGTTGTGGAAAATAGAAATCGTACGTATCATAATTCAGACCCTGCAACCTCCTGTTGCAACTGCGTTTATGGCTTATTTTTACAACTAACGGGCTTGTTTGCCATTACAGACCTGAACATCTTCACGCTCACGGACAACCCAAACGTATTCAGCGGGGTGCAGCAGAAGATGGACCGGCGTCAATTCCTCAGTGATAACATGTTTACCACCGAGTCCAGCCAGCAGGGCATACGCGACACGTTGGTGCCCAAAGTCAATTCGCAAATGTGCCAGAGTAAGTTTTTCTGTCCCCTCTCTCTCTCTCTCTTCTCTCCCCTCTCTCTCTCTCTCCTCTCTCTCTCTCCTCTTCTCTCTCTCTCTTCTCTCTCTCTCTCTCTCTCTCTCTCTCTCTCTCAGAGAGCAGGAGAGAGGAGCGAGAGCGAGAGAGGATGAGAGAGAGAGAGTTAAGGCGAGAGAGCGAGAGGAGAGAGAGAGATAGAGGGGAGAGGAGAGACGCTCGAGGAGGAGAGAGGAAAAGCGAAGAGTAGAGAAGAGAGAGGAGAGCTAGCTGAGAGAGAAAGAGAGGAGAGAGGAGCCGAGCGAGATAGAGGAGGTGAGAGAAATAGAGAGTATAATCTCTCTTCCTCTTGTCTCTCTCTCTCTCTTATTCTCTATCTCTTCTTTTCTCTCTAGAGCGATTCCTCTCGCTCCTCTCTAATCTCTCTCTCTCTCTATCCTCTCTCTAGTCTCTCTCTCCTCTTCTCTCTATCTCTATCTATCTCTTCTCTCTCTCTCTCTCTCTCTCTCTCTCTCTCTCTCTCTGCCGTGCGTTTGTCTTTACCCGTGTTTCGCATAGTCTTCTTGCTCCATTGTTTGCAGGGCGTCACCTCCGTCCTACTGCTTATGCCTCTGCTGTCCAGGACCGCACATGCTGAGTGATTGGCCGATGTTTTGGCCATTTCACCACGCCCATTTCTATCGCCCCAGCTCCGTCGCGATTCGTCTATCCGGCCTGCAACACGGACAACCTGGGATACACGTACAACGAGAACAATCACGAGTACACCCACTTTATCACGCCCGGACGTGTGGCCTACCTGCGCTTGGGGCCGGAGCAGTTTTTCTCCAGCAGCGACCTCAAGCTCCAGGTAAGCGGGCAGCTGTTGGTACCGCTCTGACAGACGATCAGCGCAAGATGTCTGCCGACCGCCGTCACTTTGGTAAGGAGAGGGATGGCATGGCGGTCGATTAAGGTTTGTCACTGAACGACCGACTCAAGAGCCCCCAACCTTGGCCCACGTAATTTTGAGAGGCCCCAGTGTCCTTGGTTCTTTGTTTATCCAGTCATCCTGACGGGTGAGTTCATTGAGGAGTTCGTGGACTGAGCACTAAGGAGACTTCCAACCTTTTTCAGACGGGGGCCGCGTGGGAAGACCCCTTGGTTCGGATTCACGTTCGGAGCCCTAGCTCACGGACCCCGTGGGCCAGGAGACTCGTCTTCCCACGTGCGCAGAGCGTCGAGACCTGTACTAGAACGGCTGAGGGCAGACAAAAACACAGGCCGCTCTTTTCCGTAGCCGTTGTCGTTGATTGTTTCGTCTAAACCTGGCATCTGGGGGTCAGACAAACGCGGGCATGGAGCCCTGGCCCCAAGGCCATGGAGGCTGTAGGCCGCGCCGACGCCTCTCACCGCTCACTGTGTGCCCGGGCCCGGCGTTTCAGTTCGAGTCAACGTTCGGCTCGCTGCAGTTCTGCATCAGCCGTGAGGATCCAATGCCGGCCGACGGAGGCGACGACGTCACCTGCATGTCCACCGGTTCGTGAGCGTCAGCTCAAACTGGTGCCTGACCTGCGGTGGTGCGATGAATGGACCCATTTAAACACATATGATGGTTTATTTCGACATTTCTTAAAGTGGATGCCGTGAGCGTACCGAATGTAGACTGAAATGAACCAGAAGCACCAGCTGCTGAAAGTTGGAACTGTCCGCCTGTTCTTGCAGTCCAGTGGATTGTTTCAGCTGGTCGCGCTAACTGAAGGTTGGTGATTTCAGAATCCGTTTCTACCAGCCAAGTGGAGTTTACCTTCAACGCACCCTGCAACGAAGATCAGATGAACGGTGACTGCCCACCTTTCTATATCTCCATCCAGCAGAACCCGGCCTCGACCAGTACCGACAACGTCAACCTGTGCTCAGGTCGGTTTTCAAGTGTTGATGCTGGGAGGCCAGCTCTCGTAATAGGATCCCACGCCCATCACGATATACAACTGGCATTTATCAAGATGTCTGAGCGACCAGCTGGACTTGGCAGGCACTTCCATCCACTGACAGAAACCGAGCGCTGGGGTTCCCTTTATCCCGAACATAAATCTAGGGGATTGATAGGTGGGACGCGTTCGTGAACGAAGAATGCAGTATGACAGATGGTCATGGAAGCTGTGATTGTTTCCACATGTCGTTCTTGAAAGACTCCCATCCCAGCCGCTTTACTACACCAACGTTTTGATACGCTTTCCGCGTGGATGTCCACCCAGCCAGCGCGGCGCAACACGTCACCTGTTCTGTGCAGCCCTCGCAGCGTAACACGTCACTAGTTCACCCGTTCACCTGTTCTGCACGCGTCCACAGACGACGAGTGCCCGTTCCCGAATAGCATCCGCTACACGCTGAAGCACGAGAACATGCGCTGCAACAGCGTGAGCTCGCTGGCCGTACCGGCGTTTCTGCTGGCCGCTGCGGCCCTCCTCCGTCAGGTGGCGCAGTAGGCGCGGCGCCGAACAGCGCGCCTGCGGCGGAGTGCTGCGATGCTGGCGGCGTCCCAAGCGCGCGCGGGAGGGCAAGCTGACCCAGCCAGTTAAATGTGCGTGTTGAATGGACAAGAGGACGTAGCACTAATGGCCGGCGGGAGCGAATACGGGCGTGCGTGTGTCGAAGGGCGAACATTTTTTGACGCGTCTTCTTAGGGTACTTTTGTTGTCAGTGACTGGTGACTTAGATTGTAGAACCTATCTATGATTCGCATGCCAACAGTGCACACATTGTAACCTGAGGCGCTCCGCGTTTCACATGCCTGTCATGCCTGACATGCATTACATGCTTATCCCACTGACAAAGCTCTGTCAGACGAGCAGGGGCGATCAAGGTGAGGTCCAATTTTTCTTAATCGCAACCGGTTGCGGCATGATAAAAAACTGTCATTCACCAAGTGTTTACGCACACCTACACATATCTGATGATTCCACCTACCTGTGGCTTGTGAGAGACATGTGTAGTCACCTGTTCACCCAGTTCTCGATTTTCACTGTTTAACTTGAAGCCAGTACGAGAACTCTAGATGACCACACCCGTGTTTCAGGCCATGCGATACGATCCCTTTGATGGTGAAAGATGTGTGTTAGTAGGTCCAGTTTGCCGCTGGAGATGTCAAAAGCATCCCAAAAATGGCATTCCGCTCTAGATCCAATCAGCAAACGCGCTCCATTTTTGGGCACATAGCTCCCCAAGTGATTACGTTGGCCACAATTGGCCAGAGCGGTCAATGCAACCACTACTTCAAAGGCTGCTTTGTTTCTTACTTTCCATGTTCGCGTCACAAATGATATGTGTGCTTGCCTGTTTTTAGTATGCCGTGTGGTCTTTTATACAAATGCTGCTAAGTTGAAAAGTGACTTCATTCAAGCACTGCCTTTCCTATGTCACATGGCAATTCTGAGTGCAATCGGCAGTCAGGGAAATCTATATGGCGAAGCTGCCCCGGCTGATAGTGATGGGAGGCCTTTTTGCTTTTCTTGTGCCAATGGCAGGTGTTTGACCTCATATTTCACCAAGTCCGAATGGTTCCCTTGCTTCAGTGATGATTAAATAAATAAATAGATGGTTCGCCTTTTTACGCAGGATGACCTCGTCGCAAAATACCGGCATGAAAACACTGAGCTGCCTGTGATGGCTAAAAGCGCCTTACCACCCTGCTTAATCTTACATGATAAAGGCTATCGCTTTGGATGGAGCATATTCTGCGTGTGATGTGCTAAGGGTGTTTAAGTGGTGTGCGGACTTTGGTGCTCCGTAAGTTTTTGTTCCGTTTCCGTTCCGTTTAAAATGTCGCTCCTACGATCAAGTAAAACCAACCACATAAATGAGCGCCTGCATATTTAGCTGCGTGCACAAAGCATAGTAGAAGTGTTGACAAATGCTTAAGTTGAGGTTGCGGCAAAGGACAACCGTCTGGCTTCGGCATCGGAGAATTTTTGGGCTGCGCGGCGGAGACTTGTTGGAATTGGCTGCGGAGACATGCTGGGCGAAAACAGCGCAGATGTGCTAGGTCACCGCAGGGAAGACATCCTGGGCCGAGCGGCAGGGACATCCTGGGCCGAGCGGCAGGGACATCCTGGGCTGAGCGGCAGGGACATCCTGGGCTGAGCGGCAGGGACATCCTGGGCTGAGCGGCAGGGATATCCTGGGCTGAGCGGCAGGGACATCCTGGGCTGAGCGGCAGGAACATCCTGGGCTGAGCGGCAGGGATATCCTGGGCTGAGCGGCAGGGACATCCTGGGCTGAGCGGCAGGGACATCCTGGGCTGAGCGGCAGGGACATCCTGGGCTGAGCGGTAGGGACATCCTGGGCTGAGCGGCAGGAACATCCTGGGCTGAGCGGCAGGGACATCCTGGGCTGAGCGGCAGGGATATCCTGGGCTGAGCGGCAGGGACATCCTGGGCTGAGCGGCAGGGACATCCTGGGCTGAGCGGCAGGAACATCCTGGGCTGAGCGGCAGGGACATCCTGGGCTGAGCGGCAGGAACATCCTGGGCTGATCGTCGGGGACATCATGGGTGAGCGGCAGGGACATCCTGTTTTGAGCGGCAGGGACATCCTGGGCTGAGCGGCAGGGACATCCTGGGCTGAGCGGCAAGAACATCCTGGGCTGATCGTCGGGGACATCCTGGGTTGAGCGGCAGGGACATCCTGGGCTGAGCGGCAGGGACATCCTGGGCTGAGCGGCAAGGACATCCTGGGCTGAGCGGCAGGGACATCCTGGGCTGAGCGGCATGGACCTCCTGGGCTGATCGTCAGGGACATCCTGGGCTGAGCGGCAGGGACATCCTGGGCTGAGCGGCAGGGATATCCTGGGCTGAGCGGCAGAGACGTCCTAGACTGTAGTGGCGGTGACTGGCTGGGCTGCAGGGGCAATGATGTGGGACTGCGGCGGCGGAGGTCTTCTGTGCTGTACTTCAGCGCTAACTGCTAGGCTGCGTGCCGCTGTCGGCGGGGTGACGCCAGTTAGCAGTCCGGCTGCCGGGCATTGCGACACCGTCGATTCACAGCCAGCCGAAGACAGATACGACCCCCTGCAGCTGTGCCAGGTCTAGTTGCAGTGTTTGGATTCTTGGCATATTGCCGGCCCATGTTGGAATGCCCGTGAGGCTCGCGACTTATTTAGCGATCTATTTAGCGACGAGTTCCGATTTCTCTGAAAAACCTCAGATGAGCAATTGGAGTATGATAACATCAAAAATGAAAATTATTCTGCAATATCAACTGCTGAACAAATCGCCAACTTCACAGACATCATTTCGGCTTGGTTGTGTGTCCACGCTTAGCAGGATGGTGTAGAGTAATTCCCGCGGCGAATAATGCCGCAGCCGGAGAAGGTCATTTTGATTGGACGACTGCAGTATCGGACATACGGGGCGATGGTCATAAAACGTAGCTGACGGCTGTGTCATGCTTCAGTGCTTAAGTCTTGGTCGAAGATAATTCGTTGAAGATGACATGGTCTAAGTTCGCCTAGGTAAACAGTTTTACATTAGTGCTGTTTTGGTAGGACTAGGCACTGCAATCTTAGGCCCGGATAATCCGGAGTGGACAAGAAAAGAAGCTTCGGCCGGGCGGGTCCGCAGATGGAAGTGCACTTCACGAGAGTCAGCGCCCCTCTCACGCTGCTTCCCCGTGCAGGCCGTCCCGGCGCCGGGCGAGAGCGACGTCGGTTGGACCCCATGGCTCCCTCCGGTGACATGTTCCCATCGGCTCCAGCCCTGGCGCACGGGGCCGGCTGGGACCGAGCCCTCATCATCATAACTGTTGCGAGGCTTTCCTTGCACAGTTGCAAACACGCAGGTGTTCCTTTCTCCCCAGCGGGGTTGGCGCAAAAAATTGCTGTTCTTCGTTTGACTTAGGAATCCATTCCTTCCTATTTAGGGCTCTATCGGATTCACGTAACACAACACACCGGGTCGCGCCGGGCCGCTGAGCCGGTTCCTCCGTCGCGCCGGGCCGCTGAGCCGGTTCCTCCGTCGCGCCGGGCCGCTGAGCCGGTTCCTCCGTCGCAGCTAGGGCCGCTGAGCCGGTTCCTCCGTCGCACCGGGCCGCTGAGCCGGTTCCTCCGTCGCAGTCAGGGCCACAGAGCCAGGAGGACTTTTGTTGTGGCAATGATGCCGGCCTGATCCACCAGCTGAACCAAAAGGAGACTGGTTGTGGTAATGACGTGATCCTAGCACCGAACTTCACTGTATGGTGCGTGTATGTGCCCGTCTGTGCTGAAAAAACGCATATATAAAATCGACGTGTTTTATTTTTCTTAGGTTCCCACCGAAAAAAATTGTCCCTCTCCCTTGCTTTGCGCTGGATGACCTAAGCCGTTGACGTAGGTTTTTGCCCGGCATTCCGCCAGTGATAAATTCCTTCCGCCTTGGATATGGCTTTAGGGCTGTCGGGTGATAAACAAATAAACAATTATCGCTGAATGCGGAGAAATATTGATTAAAGGAAGAATCTTGTCAACGCACTAATGGACCTGCTCATCACACCTGCAACATAGGAGGCGGTAATGCAGATTGGCAGACGACAAGAAATTCTGCAGGTCTAGTCGTATCCAGGACGTTTCCATCTGGCCCAATACTTAAATATCGTTGATGGACAAGTTATTTCAAGAACACGCAAAGAGACCAAGCATGAAACATCATGGCTCTGTTGTTATCGAAAAAAATACACTGTGTAAAAATAGTCTGTAAATTACCACACCAAGACGTAAACAAAGCGTCGCTCAGTCCCATATGGGGCAGTGTTTTCAACCGACCGGGCCAACCCCCATCGCACTCATTGTACTCGTAATGCGTTGTGTGGTTATCTCGTAAATCACTGCCGTGATGATAACGCACGAATTGTTAACGGGCGGTACATTCACCATGATGCCAGCTCGGATTGACAACGAAGTTGGCTGGATACACTGTTGCTTTATCAGTCGACCTAGACCAACAACTAACCAGTGTCACCCGTGTCCGGACCACTGGATGACGGCTCCGCAGCGTACCGTGTATCGACCAGCAAGCCTCGAATCGAACCCGTGGAGCTGGACACAAAGCCGGAGTCCCAAACAGAGAGACAGACAAGCCTGGGTGCCCACACAGGAGCGCATGCGCGGTGGCGTCTAGTGCTTGCCTGCCGGAGGAGAAATCGACAGACGGAGTCTCAGGGCACGGAACCATCGCGGAGCCACACAAAAGACGATCTCGAGACGAGACGGCCGTGACTGACACGGCTGTGAGAGGCATGGAGACTCCCGGCGTCAGTCCCAACACACATTTGAAACGTGGTTTGTGCCGAGTCGATGTCACGTCCACCAGACGCACCCACATGACATGGCCGAGTCTCTTCATGTGTCAGGCAGTACACAGGGAGGCTCAGCAGCTGAGGCGGTACTTAGCAGCTGAGGAGTGCTCAGCAGCTGAGGACTGCTCAACAGTTGAAGAATGCTCAGCAGCTGATCAGTGTTCAGCAGTGCTCAGCTGTTCAGCAGTGTTCACTGTGCGAAAGTGCTCGGCCGCTGATAACTCGTATATTTCACGCACGTGCGCTGATACTTAGCAGTGAAAACAGAGCATCGCTAAGGCTTGGCCCAATAACGCATGCCTTGCGTATGGCAACAGGCACGTGTGTGAGAAAAATTGAAAATTCAGCGTGGGATGCACTGATCCAAGCCATCGGTGCGTAATAATTATACTCGACGACGACGCACAAATCATGCGTCGTTTTTCAACTTATACGTCTTCACAAGTCATACGACACACAAGTCATGGACGCGTCCGCGTGCTTACGAAGTCCCATGAGAGATAGACTGCTGCAGACTCAGCGTGTTGCGACCTAATGCATCGCTCTTGAGGCATGTTTACTAATTCTTCGAACGACGTGGTAAGCCGCCCGTTGCACGAACGCTCTGTCCCACCCTCGGGAGAAAGCCCGGGACATCAAATCGGGCACTGACGGTCGGCGACAGACACATCCAAGTTATGTCGGCGACCGGCCGTCTGCACACGCAGATACTCAGATAGATATAGTGTTACGTGTTATAAATGTTATAAGTGCTATGGTGGAGTTCGATCTCAGAGGTACCCGCTCTCCTCTATGTTCCTGTTGCTGCCAGTCAGTGTTCTGTAGAAGCCGGTCGGACCGTGTTTTGTAGCCCAATTCGGTCAGTATTTTCTCGCGCACCCTCTTCGGACGTTTAATTTGTCTCGGAGCACAATAAGTAATCGTTTTGGTCGAGACAGTCACTTTCACGTAAATGGTGTTACCATAATCATACTCGACACCTGATCATGATCTAGCCTAACAGCCGATGGCTGGCAGTGGCAATTACAAGATACTCACCCGCCAGCTGGTAAACGACCGGGCTATCAAAACATGCCCTATTTACGGTCAAATCCTGCATAACGCCGGGCCTGGCCGACGGCTCGACCCCCGTGCGTGGCTCATCAGCCACCATGCGGTGAACCCCATCACCCCATCCCCAAACACTGTCCAAAGACGATCCATCACACGAAAAATGTGCCCTTGGCGAACAGCTGTGAAACGAAAACAACTTTCCCGGTGCGTGCTCCTCCAGTTGGCAGGTGAGCCGAGAGCGGACAGGCGGTGCAGCGGCGATGCTTACCTCGAAGCGTTGGTCGGCGAAGCTGCTGCTGCTGCTGCTGCGTCTGGCCGCCAGCTCGCCGTCCGCGCCCGCCCAGCCGTGCTGCGAGAACCACGCGCCGCGCTCATCTCAAGAGCGCCAGATGCGCCTGCCGGACGGCTTCACCATGGCCATCGAGCCGAAACTGTTCTTCAACATGTTTGACTCGGAGACGGAGGGCAAGCTGCGCGTGCAGACGCGGTTGGAGTTCCGATACCGGCCGCCAGCCGGCTTTAGTGGGCGTCAGGCTCGCCAGGCAATGGATCGCGTCGCTGTGTTCTCCTCCCTACGGGCGGCGCTTTCCAGGTTCGGCCTGGACGGGCAGAGCTGCCTTCAGCGGGCTGTGTGCGAGGTGAGAGGGCGACGGTGAGTCTGGGACCGTATGGGTGGGCAGAGCTGCCTTCAGCGGGCTGTGTGCGAGGTGGGGAAGTGACAGTGACACTGTGTCGGTGTGACTGGCAGAGCTGCCTTCAGCGGGCTGTGTGCGAGGTGAGAGGGCGACGGTGAGACTGGGACCGTATGGGTGGGCAGAGCTGCCTTCAGCGGGCTGTGTGCGAGGTGCGGAAGTGACGGTGGCACTGTGTCGGTGTGACTGGCAGAGCTGCCTTCAGCGGGCTGCGTGCGAGGTGAGGAGGTGACTGTAAGACTGTGCAGTGAGATTAACGAACTGCGTTATCCTTGAAGGTTTGTGAGTGAATTTTGTGTGCGACAGACTTTTCTTCACTCTGGCTTCAACTAGATTTAATCTCGACCCCCTTCCTCCCACATGCCCTGTATGTTGAGTGTGTTCCGAGCATTTCTTCATCCTGTTCTGTCAGCCTGTCATTACGGCACTCAGTGGCCCCCGATTCCGTGTCCGCAGCCTTTAGTAACGGTCTGGTCCCACATTGTCAGTCTGTGGTGACCACTCTCCCGTGTCCCCAGACGTCCGGCACTCCGGACCACTCCGACGGCCTGCTGGGCGAGCTCGTGACGCTGGTGCTCTCGCCGTCACGCGGCCTGGCCGGGCAGGCGCCGGACCAGCTGGCCCCGCTGCTGGAGGCAGAGCGGCGCGGCCGCACGCTCGGTCCCGATGGCTGCAGCGCCCTCTTCCCCAGCTGTCCGGTGTCGCTGTTCAACTTCGCCGACCGCGCTGCCGACTACACCGGCGCCCTGCTCGACCTCATGAACGTGCCAGCTTGATCACCGACGCTTCACCAGCCGGCGCGCCGGCCTGAGCACCGACGCCTCACCAGCCGGCGCGCGGGCCTGAGCACCGACGCCTCACCGGGCGGGACGCCAGCCTAGGCTACGACGTCTCACCAGGCGGGATGGCGAGCAGGCCGGTAACAGTGCTGTTTCCATGGTGCAGCGGCTACGGGCTTCCTTTTCAAAGCCCGAGTTCCTTTGATATCTCGGCTTTGTTTCAGCCGAGCCGACAAATTATGGAAACACCGTTCCTAGCTACTTTCCGTTTCTGGACCGCATTGTTAATCTGATTAAGGCGACTAGTTTATGCCACTGGAACCAAATGCTACGATGACCTTCGAAATCGCGTTCAGGAAGGAAGAATGGAATCATTGGCATCATGAAAGCAGGCTGCCGCCGTGCTCACGGGACGTGGAAGACGCGAGTTCGAACATTGGGTTTGCGGCGCATGTGAGGACAGTGTGTAAAGCCCGTGGCTTGTAGAAACTCGGTGGCGATTATGTAAGAGTCTATCGCTGGCAGAATGCGGCAGCAAGCCCGCCAGCTCCATGATTCCGGCAGTAATGGGTCATGGACAGGGAATGCATCCCAACAGCTTGTTGAGTCAGCCGCCAGAGCCGCTTTCATGTGTCTGGGGCCGGGCCGCTGAATGATTTTCTTTGTCGGGTCTTCATGGTGGGAAGCTGCTTGAGCCCGAGCATGCTACGGTGCAGCAAATAGAGGAGAGCACTAACTTAAAGGCTGGAATTGTCTCGTTGGGGAATGTCCGGTATTTTTTATGTTGGTGGTGTTGCGGTGCTGCCAGTTCCATCCTACATTTGTGAGCATGATCACCCCGTTGAATAAATATGAGGGCACCAATGCACGTCTTGCAAGTGACAGCCTGCCTTTGTCTCGCGCACAATGGCAGCGGTAGGATGCATTCCAGCTTGTCACAAACCACGAAGGGAACCAACCAAAACACCTATTTTGCGCCCTATAAGCAAGAACAGGTGAGGTGACCCGCTCACACGCCGCTGTGCTACCGAGCAGCAGCCGCTGAAGTTCCATCGCTCCACCCTCTGCTGCTGCTGCTGCTGCTGCTGCTGAAAGCACGGCTGTGCAGACGTGCGGCCGCGCGCGGCTCAGCTGTGCGGCTGCTGCTGCTGCTGCTGCTGCTGCTGCTGCTGCTGTTGCTGCTGTTGTTTTTGTTGCTGCTGCTGTTGTTTTTGTTGCTGCTGCTGCTGCTGCCGCTGCTGCTGCTGCTGAAAGCACAGCTGTGCAGACGTGTGGCCGTGCGCGGTTCGGCTGTGCGGCTGTTGCTGCTGCTGCTGCTGCTGCTGCTGCTGCTGCTGCTGCTGCTGCTGCTGCTGCTGCTGCTGCTGCTGCTGCTGCTGCTGCTGCTGCTGCTGCTGCTGCTGTTGTTGTTGTTGTTGTTGTTGTTGTTGTTGTTGTTGTTGTTGTTGCTGCTGCTGCTGCTGCTGCTGCTGAGGCCGGCCGATCCGCTGCAAGTAGAACAGCCGGATCAGAGCGCGTCGCAGGTGGGGTCGCGCTCGCGGAACCGCGGGAACCGGAGCACCTTTGATGGCTGGACAGCGCCGCCCGACGTCAGGTGCGTGCTGCGGAACCCGCCGGCCGGCCGGGCGCCGCACCGTCAGCGCAGGGGACGGTCACGACAACGACAGAACAGAACCTCACAGGCGGCATGGACCCGCTACAGACGTCACGGACACTCCACCGATGGTAAAAATAGAACATCGCTGGCGTGACTTGAACTCTTGATAAATCAGGAGCGAGTGGAATTTTGGAGACGAACATGTTAGTGGTCAGTGATCATTTTACAGAAGCATGGATACATTGAGATGGAAAATCGTAAGGATTAGCATCTCAGTACATCTAACACCGCGACACGACATTAATGGTAAAGATGAAGGTCAACCCGCCACCGACAGTGGCGATCAAAAGTCACAAAAAATACAACAACAAAAACGGAAAGATAGGGCCACAGCAGCCCATACTCCGAGCCTACCGCACTCATCGGCACAAAACCTTCCCCCAATCGACATGTCATAGTCGATATCCTATCCTTTCCAGAAAATGGTTATCTTGGATCAGGTCAAAAGGCACCATAAGCACCCAAAGCCACCAGCATTGGCTGCAGACAGCCCCATGTTTTGGGAATGACCGGAGCAAAGCCTCCGCCGATCGCCGCAACATGGACGATAGCTATTCTTTTTGGAACATGGTAGCCTTGGGGCGGGTAGCAGGTCAACAAAAGCGGCCGAATCAATCTGTAATAAGATTACAGAGTTCATTACATTGGTGAACTTTGCCATGACCACGGTTTACCATATTATTGTAAAGAAAGAATATCGACTATGACACAAATTGGTTAGGGTTATGTGCCCATCATTCCCATAGGCTCGGAGCACGGGGTTGTCTGGAACCCTACCTTACGTTGCTATTTTTTTGTACTTTCGGCCGCCTTTGACCTAACTCAGGGCTACCATGTTCTGGGAAGGACTGTTGTCGCAAACGACACATCGATTGGTAAAGGTTTTTTGGCAATTGTTCCATAGGTGTGGAGTTTGGGATTTTCAGCAACCAATTTGGTGGCTTTTAGCATTTTTAGTAACCTTTGACTTGACTCAAGGTCACCTCTTCCTGCAATGCTAGGATATCGACTAAGTCATGCCGATTTGCGTTGGCGAACGTTGCTGAACGTTAAATTTGCTGAGTGAAACGACGGAGACTGTAGTCGGAAGGCGCTTCCGATTTGTCAGCTGGGCTCATAAAATATTCCTTGGCTGCTTTTTGTCTCTCACCAGGTTTATTCAGAAACGTGCTATTGCTGTACGTATCGGTCCGTTCGCATGAACAAAGCTGTACATATGTACAGTGCGTCCGACGCGACGTGGCCGGGCGAATGGGCGAACGGGCGAGGCGGCGGACTTCGGACTGAAAATGAACGAGATTGGCCGTCACGCGCTCTCGGCGTCCTCGGACTGCGAGGCCGTGTACACGACTGCAGTCAGTGGGTTCGGCCGCATCTGGAGAGAGCTGCATGGAAATCCATCGCTCGTGCACCTCAGTGACCCGGCGCATCAGCTTGAGTCTCTTTTGGACGAAATCAAGCACCATCCGACAAGTGAAAGGGTGGGAGATTTGTAAGAGCGACTAAACTCGCCATAGCCGTGTTAATGGCCTCGCCAAAGCTGAGACGACAGGCTGGACGGACAGTGCAGGTATTGGCCCTGCTACGCGTGGCCTTTCAGCGACTCATTGAAACGCGATTCGTGGTTCACTCGGCGGAAGCCACTGAACGTGTATTGGCGAACTGCGATATCACCTGGTGAGGCCGCCGCATACGCCGTGTTTGACGACAGCGTGGCCGTGCACCGATTACAAGTCATGACAAAATTGACTGACGCCGACTCCCAGGCTCGTCTGGCGGAGGATTGGCCTGCCGCCGCCAGTGGTGCTTTTCGTGGCAGCCCGATACACCTGTGCCGCAAGTGCCGCTATGACAGATGGACGCGTTCACCGACATCCTACGGGAAGGGACTGACCAACGGCGGAGATTGAACAGACACCCCTTTGAACTTCCAGACCTTGAGAAGCACCTAAGACAAACTGACGTCGAGAAACTCATGACAGAGATATTCAATTTCGCGCGCTATCCGACCAACAAAACTGACCTAGAGACTCACGTTAGCCACCAGCTAGCTGACCTAGTGACTCGACTGTGCGAAGGACCCATGACTCTTCCCACACGGTTTGATGCCACGTGCCTCTGACTGACGTTTGCGTGCCCCCTGTGGCTGTTCTGAACGTTTAAATGTAGAGTGGCGGTCAAGTGAGCGCGGTGTGGAGCAAGTGGTTGCCCACAGGCGGCGACGCCGTCCGCTGGCTGCTGGAGGCGCTGCTCCGACCTGTTGTGTGGCCTGAGGCGGACCTGCACGCGAATATTCCGTGCATCGCGGAACTCACTGAAATATGTCCGGTGCTGAGCCGGTCTCAGACTGACAGTGAAAAAGTCAGTAAAACGCCTCAATTTATTGTAGAAGGCCGTTTTGGAAAAAAGAACACAATGGCTCTAGGAGCAAGGACGAAGAACGTGCTATGAAGAAAACTTTCACAAGGGAGAATCAGATTCCGCTCCGCTTCTTCTCCTGCAAAGAAGTATAAGGATCGCTGGGGTCGGCACCAGCACGACCCAAACCAGAGAGCTGCTGACCAGTCGCGGACGGCCCAGCGGCTCGACTTGGAAAGCAAATGCCTGATTTTGATATTGAGCTCAAACTAGAGGTCCAAAACTTCTCATGTATCCAGTCAATGGTCACTGACGGGTCAAAAACGAAGAAACGCTGCGGCGTTTAAGGCCAAATTTGGCAAGTTTTACAAACTACACGATTTCATCGCTTTTTTTTCTTCCACTTGACGTTATCATTTCAAAAAGCTGTCAGCTGTTGGAGCTGATTAGGTGGTGCTGCAGTGAGCAACCGACCTCAACAGCCGATCTGTCACCGCTGTAATCGGTTATTGTGTCCAATTGTTATTCGTGTGAGCGCGTATTTTTTGTTCGTGCTTGATGAGAAGACAGTGTTAGCACGTCTAGTCCGTGGCACGATTTAGTAGCATATGCAATGACAAAGCGCAGGTTAGAAGGTGTGATGCCACGGTCATGCTGTGAGTGGGGGAGGGAGGGCGGGGAGAAAGACAGCTGGAGCGTGAGTTGTTTAAGAAATGGAGGGATTTGGTGCTTTGCCCGGTAGAATGCATTGAATCGCAGAGAACTGGACGTGAGTGAGCAGACCATCTCGTCCGCATTCAGCAAAGTCATCATTCGATGTATTCTCCGACGTGTTGACGCTTAATCAGCCAGCAGCCGTAGGATTGAATAATAACGAACTTTGCACGCAAATACATGAAAAGATACCGTGGCTGCTTTTTGTCCCGCCATGTTCATTCAGAACCATGTTATTTCTGCACTAATTGGTCCAATGCCACGTACATGCAAGAATGTACATACGTGTAAGTCGGCTGCCGTGACGTTGCCCGATCGAGACGGCGGCACCTAACTGGCACCACCCGTCTCTCGACCTCCCTCTCCGCTCCTCTCCCCTGGTCATGCGCTGGGGTCACGCCGTGAGAGGCCCGCCCCCAAAGTGGCCGATAACAGGGGTGTCAGCCTGGGTTTTGGCACCTCTTTTGGCGAGGCTAATTGTCAGGACACCCGACTGGTAACGATTGTTATTCATTGGTTGACCTCGTAAAACCCGGCGACGGTCATTTCACGAACTGCAAACAAGCATACTGGCGGCAGGGCCAATTAGCATTTTGGGCCACTCCCACTATGGATGAGCCTATGACTGGCTATGCTTACGTGGCTGCTCTGTTGCAGTTCTGATGCGCCATTTGTGTATGTCTGACTGCTTCCACGCGGCGTGATTAATCGTCGCTTCGGATCCGTCAGGCCCTGACCTCAACAGGAGGGACCACTCTGTGCCTCATGTCCGTGAAGTGAGCGATTTATTCATCGATTTACTTAGCGACAGCTTCCGATTTTAAGAGAGACGTTTCAGAAAGTCAATTACGGTTCGAAGACACTAAATCTGGTGTCAATTTTTCAATGCCATGTGACCTTCAAGGCCAGGGTAAAGGTCAAATGACGGGAAGCTTCATGTCACTAATTTTCTAGGTGTGACAAAGGCGTTCATTACGAGCACCACTATGATACCCATTTCGTTATATTTCTCAACAAAATAAATCAAATTCACGGTACTGCGTTTTGTGTGACCATGATCTTTGACATTGAGTCAGATTTTGCATGTGTGAGAGAAGCAAATATCACGAGCATCAATATGACACCCATTTTATTGT